ATTACAAGGCGCGTTGTACAGCCGCTATAAGCCATGCGTACTCCTTCGCGGATCACTGACCCAATATTAACATGATCAAGAACAGCCAATAACACGTCGTGCGGTACCCGATCAAACGCTTTCTCTAGATCTATTTGTAGCATTGCCACGCCACTCTGCATGGCGTCGCAACACTCCAACACACTCCGTGCTTTATGAATATTCGTTAAGATAGTCCTACCTTTAATACCGCATGTTTGGTGGGGGCCAACTATTTCCGTAACTACAGTCTGTAACCGCCTGGCCAGTATCTTCATAAGTATTTTATAATCCACATTAGTTAAACTGATAGGTCTATACGAAGTTACCTGTCGCAGTTTGACAGTGTCTTCAGTTTTCGGGATTAAAATGGTGTGGGACGACAAGAAGGATGGAGGTAGGACACCTAGTTCGAAAGCCTCATTGAAGACCTTAGCCAGAACTATTGAAAGCTCATGCTTCAGCGCCTTATAAAATGCAGCGCTGAGCCCGTCTGACCCAGGGGACTTTCCCGGGTTCAGGGCTTCAATAGCAAACAAAACGTCCTCCGCCGTGATGGTCGCTTCCAAAACCTCTTTTGTTGCGTTGTCTAACCGCGGCATTAAAGGCAAAAAGTCACGCTTAAAGCTCTCCACATCGACTGGACTCGCCGCGAATAGGGTACAGTAATAATCAAAAAAGGCGCGCTTGATTTCCACCCTGTCGCTCGTGACTGCACCGTCACATTCGACCTCAGTTATCTCATTACGACGAGCGTATCTTTTTTCCATGCTCAGTGCTCGTTTAGTCGGCGCCTCCCCCGTTATGAACCGTTCCGCTCTCGCCCTGACAAGTGCGCCACGATAACGCCCTTTATCTAAAATCTCCAGTTTTTCCTTCACAGAACAAATGTCGTCTTTACATGCTCCCGGCATTCTGCATTCCTCTTTGACCAACATTTGCAAGTTCAAACGCAACACTTTTTCAATTTTTTTTTCTTCATTTTTAATTATACTAGCTCGTTCTAATGCCTTCATCTTTATCTCCTGCTTAAAATGTTCCCAGCTTAGCCTATACCCACATGCCTTTACATCCCTTAATTTTTCTATTGCGGCCTCGACATCAGCTCTAGAAATGTCGTCATCCAGCAGCTTACAATTTAGTTTCCATAAGTCCCAACTAAATATTTTTCGATTTCCCGATTTTTTTCCAACGCAGAACTTGACCAGACAGTGGTCGCTGAAGCAAATAGGACACACCGTGTAGTCGAAAGAAAATGGTACCACCTCCAGCGATACATACGCTCTGTCTAGACGGGAATGACTGGTCCCTTGAAAATGGGTAAACTGAACGCCCCTCCCACTATTGACACATTCTCCCACGTCTTCGAGGCCGTAGTCGTTAACTATGTCGCTTAAAAGCACGGTGCTCGAGTCTTGGCACGGAGTAGAGCTTGTTTTATCGTGTGCAGAGCACACACAGTTAAAGTCCCCCAGCAAACAAACAACCCGTGCCGTATCACAGTAGTGCCGAACACTTTCGAAAAATATGCGCATTTCCTGAACCCTAGTTGGCGCGTATACACAGATGATGCGCCACTCTCGATCCTCGAAAGAAAAAATGAAAGCCGTTTACAACTCCCTGTAACGCCGAATTAGAGCGCAGCTCTTGAGGAGGAGGAGGGAAGGGTACTGGGGGGTGGGTCAAGTGACCTCGGGGGCGGGGGGTCACGTGACCTTGGGGGTCACGTGACCTTGGGGCGTCACGTGACGTCGCGGGGGTCACGTGACCTGGGGCCACGTGACGATACCGATGACGTCATCAGTAGCGTCACTGATGACGCCATCAGTGATGATGATGACGATGCGGATGCCGGTGACGTCACTAATGACGTCATCATTGATGATGACGATGACGATGCGGATGCCGGTGACATCATCAGTGACGTCACTGATGACGTCATCAGTGGCTCTGACGTCAACGGGGGGTCACGTGACCTCGGGGTATCCCCAGGTCACGTGACCCCAGGGGGGGTCACTTGACCTGGGTAACCATCGTGACCCTCGTGAGGGTAACCCTAGTAACCCTTGTGAGGGAAACTCTCGTGACCCTCGTGAGGGTAACTCTCGTGACCCTCGTGAGGGTAACTCTCGTGACCCTCGTAAGGGTAACTCTCATAACCCTCGTGACCCTCGTGAGGGTAACCCTCGTGAAGGTTACCCTCACGAGGGTTACTAACCCTCGTAACCCTCGTGAGGGTTACGAGGGTAAGTAACCCTCGTGAGGGTAACTCTCATAACCCTCGTGACCCTCGTGAGGGTAGCCCTCGTGAAGGTTACCCTCACGAGGGTTACTAACCCTCGTAACCCTCAAAAGGGTTACCTTCACGAGGGTTACCCTCACGAGGGTTAGTAACCCTCGTAACCCTCGTGAGGGTTACAAGGGTAAGTAACCCTCGTGAGGGTAACCCTCGTGAAGGTAACCCTTTTGAGGGTAATTAACCCTCGTAACCCTCGTGAGGGTTACGAGGGTAAGTAACCCTCGTGGCCCTCGTGATCCTCGTGAGGGTAACCCTCATGAGATTAACCCTCGTAACCCTCGTAACCCTCACGAGGGTTACGAGGGTTGCGGTTACGCCGACGCCGACGCCGACGGCGACGCCGCTCAAGCCGGGAACGGGCCCCTAAGAGCTGCGCTCTAAAATCGCAAACGACCAGTCTCCCCAACTCACATGTGACCACTGAATGGATAACAGCCCCTAAACGTTTGCGAACAAAAAGAACACATCCCGCCGACTTCCCAACCGCGTGACAAACACAGGCGTCATAACGCGCCGTAAAAGGTCTCACCATGCGCTCCGTCTGGTCTTCGCCCTCAACTTTCGTTTCCTGGATCGCGACAACATCCAAGTCCTGCTCTGTCACGAGGCGATACAGCTGGTTCTGCCGCCTCCCAGCAGCCAGCCCTCGTACATTTAGGGTCGCAATTCGCAGTAACCTATCTAGAGACACGATGGTAGAATGGTTCAGACGGAGCACTCGGTGCTTACCCCCTCAGTTTCACGAGGCGCAGTGTTCCATGCCCGCAGGCGTTCCGGCCGCCGTCTTGTCACCGCGTGGAAGCGACGACGACCGCCCTTGACTGGCGGCTCGCATCTTCTTTCCCCTTCCGTCGACAACTTTCCACTCCTTTTCAAGCTGACTAAGCCGACGCTCCTGCGATGCCTCAAGGCTGGCATCACAGCGACGCTTTGACGCTGCCCACTCGACTTCCATCTCCGAGTTGCTGTTGACATCGTCGCACACAGGAACATCCACTCCAGAGGCATTGACCTCTTTGATGCCCGACTCCGGCGTGGCCGACTGTTGCGCCTCCGGCTGCTCCGGCCTCGAAGTCACCGCCACCGGCTGCAGGTCAGCACCGCTCGTCACAGCGGTGGTGTTGGTGGCCCCTTCCTGCGCCTCTCTCGGCTCGGATTGAGCCGTTGCAGGCGCCGCTGCGCCCTCCGCCTCGTCCTTGTCCATAACGAGTTCGCTGTGGTCTCCGTCCTTGCCACGCCCAACAGCACCCGCGTACGAGCGTGCGCAGTCGGCCGACACATGTCCAAATGCGCGGCACTCGGAGCACTTAGGTACCCGGCAGTCTCGCCGAATATGCCCCTTGGTGCGGCATCGTAGACACATCGGAGCCCGGCCGGGAACCACCACCAGAACCGCGCCACTGCCAAGGCGCAGCTGGTGTGGAAGACGGTCCAGCGAGACGCCCTCGTGTAGCACCAGCCGGACGAGCCGCGTCGTAGACTCCACGCCTTCGAAGTCGGCGACCCTCCACTTCTCTCGCGTCACCTCTTTCACTTCGCCGTACTCCCCGAAGGCTCGTCGTATCGTGTCGTTGGTCACGTCGAACGCCACCCAATGTAACTTAACCCGCACTTCTTGCCTTGTCGGATTCACGACGAGGCACGCCTTCTCCTTGACAAGGAACTGCCCGACGTCGAGCAGCTTCTTCTTCGCTTCGTCCGACCGCATATCGAGGAGCCAGACATGCGACATCTGGTATGCCCCGATTCCGGTCACCTCCCCGATCACGCCGATGTCTTTCAGCGGCTTCCGAAAATCTTCAAGCCGGTAGGGTCTTCCGGAGATGTCGCAGTGCAGAATACCCGCACGCTTCATCGCCTCGCCGGCTGGCAATGGAGGAAGGACGATACGATAGTCGTTTGAACCAGAAGATGCCGAGTCACCGCGACCCTCGACGGCCGCTATCGCTGCTCGCACGGAGCCCATTCTGCGTCCGCTCCTATCCGCAGCCAGAAACAGAATGACTACACCACTCCACCTTGGCTTTCTGGCGTTTCCTACCTGTCTTATTAATGCACAAGAAACGATATGTATCCAATCGGAGGTGTTCTGGAAACACACGCCGCCGCGTGGAATGCGGTACGACGCTTAGTGTCACGTGGTACGTGCTCGCTTGTGCTCCATTTCGTTTCTTGTGCATTAATAAGACAGGTAGGAAACGCCAGAAAGCCAAGGTGGAGTGGTGGAGTGGTTAGCACACCCGACCGGACATTGGGAGGCCCAGAGTTCAAATCCTGGCTCCGCCAATTGTTGGCTTTCGGCGGGTTCCTGAAAACTTGGATTCTTTAATTCATTGGATTAAGTACGGTTCATTCATCTGCACATATTCGTTCATATCCTCCTCGGAGACCACGTACGATGACGTGAAGTGCCCGTGTTGTATATTCAATAACGTGGCTCTTGATTCTCGCAGATGATGATGATACCGTGTCTCTAAAGCTCATAAACAAAGAATACTACTACATGTACACGGGGCGAGACAAACAGTGGGAGGATTTCTGGAGCACAAACGAGCACGTACCACATGACACTAAGCGTCGTACCGCGTTCCACGCGGCGGCGTGTGTTTCCAGAACACCTCCGATTGGACACATTTCGTTTCTTGTGCATTAATAAGACAGGTAGGAAACGCCAGAAAGCCAAGGTGGAGTGGTGTAGTGGTTAGCACACCCGACCGGGCATTGGGAGGCCCAGAGTTCAAATCCTGGCTCCGCCAATTTTTGGCTTTCGGCGGGTTCCTGAAAACTTGGATTCTTTAATTCATTGGATTAAGTACGGTTCATTCCTCTGCACATATTCGTTCATATCCTCCTCGGAGACCACGTACGATGACGTGAAGTGTCCGTGTTGTATATTCAATAACGTGGCTCTTGATTCTCGCAGATGATGATGATACCGTGTCTCTAAAGCTCATAAACAAATAATACTACTACATGTACACGGGGCGAGACAAACAGTGGGAGGATTTCTGGAGCACAAACGAGCACGTACCACGTGACACTAAGCGTCGTACCGTGTTCCACGCGGCGGCGTGTGTTTCCAGAACACCTCCGATTGGATACATTTCGTTTCTTGTGCATTATTAAGACAGGTAGGAAACGCCAGAAAGCCAAGGTGCAGTGGTGTAGTGGTTAGCACACCCGACCGGACATTGGGAGGCCCAGAGTTCAAATCCTGGCTCCGCCAATTTTTGGCTTTCGGCGGGTTCCTGAAAACTTGGATTCTTTAATTCATTGGATTAAGTACGGTTCATTCATCTGCACATATTCGTTCATATCCTCCTCGGAGACCACGTACGATGACGTGAAGTGCCCGTGTTGTATATATATATATATATATATATACGATTGCAGGCAAGCTGGTTAATTGATTAAAAAAAAACAATAATGAATAGGCATGTATGGAGACTTAACGGAAAACATAGTAAACCTAATTTCTCTTAGATACGAGAAGAAGGTCCTCAGAACATTCCTCATCGTATTGTAGAAGTTACAATTTTCAACAAAAAATAGGAATTAAGTTCACTTTATTAAATAGTATAGTCCGGGTCACAAAGTCAACAGATTGTAACATTTTACTTTTATGACCCGCGCTAGCAATCATTTTTTGCGCGTTCCATGCCTATGTTTGAATCAGAAGCCGATTCGCGCCCGCCAACCGTCAATTAGAACTACAAACGGCCCAGCGACTAAATGAACCAAGGTGCAGTCCATCAGCAGCCAATAGGGAATAAAACCATCCCGCGCTCACCATTATTTCCGCTGCCTCGATCAGAACAGGACAGCTGGATTAGCGCTCCGTGTCTCCAGCTTATTTCTCCTACGCAGGCCTATGTGACTGCCCGAGTCGGAGGCTTGACTCGGCTCTCGCCATTTCGCCACGGGGCGTCCGCTGGGCACGCAAAGCTCGTTGATCCCTAAGCTAATAATGCGGAGGGAGCTACGCAGCTGCCGGACCTGACATCGCGCTAGGTGCGGTGGCGTGGATGGGAACGTGATCACTTGGCAAAATATACGAATGATTATTCCATCTAGCACGTAGCTCCCACTGCGCTGTCAGCATAGGGGGAACGGAGTCTAGACTGGCTCATTTGCCTACTCGAAGAGGCAGTGCCGTGCAAACGAGGGATAACAGAGGGGTCTCCTACGCACCCCTCCCTCCTTACCAAAACAAAAATGCACGAGAGACCAAGAAGCTTGCTTCTAAATCGAGAACAAAGATGTGGGAGTATAGGAAAACTTGTTAGACATCTTTTTGTACTTCCCTAGATTACTCTAGAATGTCTTATTATTGTGAAAAAAGTGAGTTTACCGCTTCCGGATGGTTTAGCAGTGACGACATGCGAAGGTAACAAAAAACACCTGCGATAAAACGAAGGCACGGAGCAAAACAAAACAAAACGGGAAGTGGACTCCGGCACGACCTCGTTATAAGACCTCGTTCGTGCTTTATTATGTTTCGCCTTTTGATTTTTGACAAGAGACGTGATTCGCCACGTTTTTTTTTTTCAATTTACTCGTAGTTTTTGTTTTATTTGTAGCTTCCCTGTATCAGAAAACCATATCTCTTTGACAGGAGGGTGAATGATACAGCACTGTCTCATGGTGCCAAAATCGCAAAATTATCGTTAAACTTGCGACGGGAAGGCGTGGCTGGTCACACAGGAGAGTCTAAGACATAGAGGCGCGTTTTAAGTTTCGTGGTTTCCAGGTACCCTTAAATAAAATCCATAAAAATTCTCTGTTCTTCGTCGACTTCTGACGGAAAAGTCAATGTCGCTGATATGCATCATAAATGTCTTAATCTGTTGGCTGTGGCCTCTACGTTCTAGAGCGTCGCTTTAGAACGTAGAGGGGACAGTTCAAGAAATTGTGTCCAATATTCCGGGGCACATTGCATTCGATAGAAGTTGGTGTAAAAAACCTTAATATCTGATGAATGGTTATGCTAGTATAGACGCGTTTACACGAAAGCAATGAAGTAGTGCATACTCGTTTCTTCTGAGTTTTTACTCAGGAACATACAGAGAAGAATTTCAGCGTGCAGTATCTGTGCACGGGTGAAGCATATTAATTATTATTAGCGTACTCCACTCGCCTCGCCGAACCCCGGGAACAGAAGGCCGGTCTCCTTTCCAATGTCCCGTCGAAGCCTTTGCCGCCGATTCCCACGTGCTAGAGAATTTACTAGAAAGCGAGCGACCATATTTGCGTGTAATTTTCTTTCTTGTCCAAAGCATTGAGCATATAAAAAACATAATTCATACAACGTGTAAATTAGACAGCGTACTTTGAGAGTTTTCGAAAATTGCTGTGGTATAAGATGTGACGTCATGAAGCGCAGTTAAGGCCGTTCGCCGCTAGCTCCGCTGTCGTTGACGTTGCTGATGAATTAACACGGCGCGATCGCTCTATTTTGGCTTTGGACATTAGGAGTGGTCTTTGCGTTTCTGAGTTGGAGTTCATTTATGCTTCAGTGAAACCTTAACAGCCAGCCATCATTTGCGTTTTCGGCTCATCGGCTAGCGCCATTTTCACCGTAGCTGGGACACACAGTTTTTTTGTAAATAAGAAGGCGTTTTCTATATTGTACGGAGGTTGGGTGATTCAAGATAGGGGAGAGAGTAGTGTTTATTAAGAGGTCAAACTTGCTGAGGAAATTTTGTGCACATCGAATATATGAAAATATAAACGTTCTTCGAAAACGTTCAGCCGACTAAATGCTATGGTGTTCTTGGTAACCGTAACCCAAAACGAACCAAAATGTTTTCAGGCAAGACACTAAAACCGGAATCGAATCCAGAAATATTAGCAGGTGACTAATACATTTAAACTAATATGCACAAACAGCGTAGTTACAAACCATATAATAATAATAATAATAATAATAATAATAATGTTTAATGCAGGTGCTTCAAATGGAACTATATACACATATCAGAACCGCCAAAGCCCTAAAGGCTTGTAGGACTAGTTCCTTACGAATAACTTAAGGCACACTCAAAGCAAGTTAGTATAAACCCTTCAGAGATCTAGAACGCGTGACAGAGAGAAATATATACAAACAGGGGAGTAGTGCACAGCGCACAGAAATCACATCAAGTAGAAAACAAAATGAAAACAAAAAATTAATCGGCACTTTAAAAAATGATGTCTAGGCAAAGAGTCTTCAATCTACGTTTCAAAGCTCCTCGAGAAATTACGTCGAGTAGCACAGAAGGGAGGTTGTTAAAAATATGGGATACATAATAGAGGCGAACGCATTTTTCAAAATGTGTTTTGATGCGTGGCGTTTGATATGGTCTCACGTCTCGAAGGGCAGGACAGACAGTGTTGGGGGTCTTAAAGGTGTTATCCCAGTAGTGCCTCAGCACTACTGTTTCCAAAAATAGTGATTTAAAAGTTGGTAGCGAGAGGTCATTAAAGAGGTTATCAGATCTTTGGAAACTAGAACCGTAAGCTACACTACGCAGGATGCCATTTAGTAAGGAGTTCACTTTAGATTCTAATAAGGCTGTACACTGTCCGAATAAAGTTATTCCGTAACGGAGAATACTATAAACAAGGGCGTGCGTCAGAAGTCTTTTCGTTGTGATGGGAAGAAGTATGCGAAGATTATATAAGGTGCACGAAGCGGCTTGTATTTTTTTGAAAATATAGAAGTTAGAGTTCCATGACAGGTCGCAATCAAAATAAAGTCCCAGATATTTCGTACAGTTCACCTAAACAATAGGCGCACATTCGCAAGAAACACAGTCTGACGTGTGAAGAAAAATTGGTTTGTCTAAAACAACTTGTTTTAGTGGACTACGAAAGCACACTAGTTGTGTTTTCTTCGCGTTTATTAATTACATTTGCTGAAAACCAGTTCATGAGCCGTAATACATCTGATTGGAGTAGCTCAACAGCCTCATGGTATCGTACATGACTCGACAACAGGACAATATCGTCTGCGTATTGGAATACTGCGCAGAAGTTGACCGCCTTCGGAAGAACATTGACATAGATGTTAAAAAGAAGAGGCGATAGTATCGAGGCCTGTGGAACACCAGTCTTTAGGGACATTTTCAAACTCCGAGCTCCGCTTATTGAAACTAGCTGTGTACGACTTGACAGAAAGTTTTCTAGCAGTCTGTAAAAAGGGCCTCTGAAGCCGAGGCTGAAGAGCTTATTTAAAAGTACCTTATGTGAGACTGAGTCGAAAGCTTTAGAAATATCTAGAAAGAGTGCACACGTGAAAAGATTATGTTCAAATGCATTATGAAGAACATCGGAAAAGTCTTCAAGTAAGGGTTGGGTGCCTTTACCCATAACAAAACCGTACTGTTGGGGTGACATGAGGTTAAATTCTTCTAAGAACGCTGACATTGTCTAGAAAATGTGTTTTTCTAAAATTTTCGCCAGTGAAGGCAAGATAGATATAGGACGGTAGCTTTCGATGCTACTATGATCCCCATTTTTGTATAAAGGCCTGACAATGGCTGTTTTGAGATCTTCTGGAATATTACCTGACGTTATGGAGCCGTTTAACATATTTAGTATCACATGACTCAAGGGTGCATAATTTCTCCGCAAATCAGCGATCCGGACGTTATCAATTCCAGGAGACAAACCCGGTTTGAAACTAAGCAACATACTATGTAGACCTTGCTCTGTAATTTCAGGAAGGAAGGCCGACGCTACATTCACTGGAGCTGCTTTTGAGAGACAAACTTCA